TAAAAAATTAAAAATATATTTGTTTTAAAAAAATTATTTTTTAAATTAAAATACGTTTCCTTCCTTTATTCAAAAATTAAAAAAACAAATATATATATATATATATGTGAAAAAAACAAGAGCAATGCTAGGAAGTAGGAACACTAACCACGTGCACGAGTAAAGGTGTAAATAAGGATTCAAACTTTGCAGTTTTTTTTATTTAAGAATGTTAATTTTATCAGTTTCTAAATAAAAATGTCAACTTTTAATTTTTTCTAAATAAAGATGTCAACTTTTAATTTTTTTCTAAATAAGGATGTTAACTTTGTCAATGTCTAAATAAGAATGTTAACTTTGTCAATGTCTAAATAAGAATGTCAACTTTCAATCTTTTCTATTTAAGGATGTCAACTTTCAATTTTTTCTATTTAAGGATTAATTGAATAGTGATGCTGACGTGGCTAATATATTTTTTTAGGTTAAATATCTGAATTGGTCCCTCAACTTTTATTTTTGAACCAATTCATCCTTGAACTTCAAAAAGTACCAAAAACATCCTTCAACTTCAATTTTCAATTTCGTCTTTCCGTCAGTTAAATGTTGATGTAGCTAATTTTTTCGCTAAGTGATTGATTATTTTACATTTTCAATGTTAAGTGGAAAATCCATCATGTAAAAGATGATTATGTGGATGTTTTTAATTTTAAATAATTTACAAACTACTTTAATTCTTAATTTTAATTTATTTATATTTAAAAATTTTAAAAATTAATATATTTTCCCATTTAATTAGTCCCACCTACCATTTAATAAAATTAAATAAAAATTTAATTAATTGTTCCATGAATTAGGAAATAATTTTATTAATTGAAAATTGAAGTTGAAGAATGTTTTTGGTACTTTTTGAATTTCAACGATGAATTGGTTCAAAAATAAAAGTTGAGAAACCAATTTAGGTATTTAACCTAAAAATTATGTTAGCCACGTTAATATCACTATTCAATTAATCATTAAATAGAAAAAGTTGAAAGTTGAAAGTTGACATCCTTAAATAGAAAATGTTGAAAGTTGACATCCTTAAATAGAAAATGTTGAAAGTTGACATCCTTATTTAGAAATTGACAAAGTTAACATCCTTATTTAGAAAAAATTGAAAGTTGACATCCTTATTTAGAAACTAACAAAATTAACATCTTTAAATAAAAAAAAGTGTAAAGTTGAAATCCTTATTTACACCTTTAGTCCCACGTGCACTCTCCAGCCAACACTTCCATTTTCATTGGGTTTCCAGAGAGGTCATCATTTCATGAAAGTAACCTTAGGTGGTCCAATAAAAAAGCATGTGTTGGCTGGAGAGTGCAGGAGGCGAGTGCCCCTAGTATAGGTTCAGAGTATGTGAAGAACTTATTTATTCACGAGTATATCAAGAGTATATATACAGTTGGAGTCTAAGTGTTGCCCTACCACATAAGGCAAGTGAATCACAATCTTGGATATTATACAGAGAATGAATGTGAGCTTAAACAGAATATTAATATGCTAT